TTTCGAGATAAGCGAGGCCATTGTTTCCCTTCAAACAGCATGTGTGCGGTGTTATTATCCATATGAACTAGCTGAGAATCTTGTGTCTAACGATCTACATATCCTCCACTTCTCCCAATAACTGCACTCGCGTCGCAGACTCAAGAGATTCTGGAAGGAGACTGCGACGCCAGCAGTGGCCGCGAACACTGGAGACTGCTGCGCATTATAGCAGCGTAGCACCACACCTTCACCGGCGCGGCGGAGAGCGCGGAAAACGGCGAGGTAACGCCACCAGCCTCCGGGCCGACGGCGAAACTTTCTATCACGACTCCGCTTTGAAAAGTCGAACAATGCCGCTAATCGATCTGTTGGGCTGATAGGCGCGGTGGCGGCGCGGCCGGTCGGTTGCACGCCGCTGTCCGGCGACCACACCCGGGCCGGCGGCGACACGCGGCCGGGCGAGGTTAGTTACCCCGCGAGTCCGCTCATGCCGCAGCTCTGATAGGATCGGATCAGCAGACACCTGCTGCGCATGGCCAGCAGAAGGCGGCGGGGGAGGCAGGCGCGGCCCGGCTGGCCGGCGCGGCGTGCCACGGCGGCGGCAGAGTTGACCGACCGGCCAGGCGGGGGAGGAGGAGGGAGGGGGGGGGGGGGGCGTCTGGCCAGTCAGAAGTCCGACCAGAGCCCGGTGAGCTGACAGCCGGTCCGACGGTCAGGAATGCATGCGGGGGAGGCGCGGGATGCAGTCGCTGTCAGAGGCAAACAGGCTGGGCGGCGCGGGCGGCCAGGATGGCAGCGAGAGGAGAGAGACCCGCCCTCGCCGGTCGGCGCTCTGTAGCCGTCGCGATCGGCCACGTCAGCGCGCGTTCCCAGGGCGTGACGTCGTCAGACAGCGGCACTAATGGCGTGGCCACCGCCCGACGCACTCAGACACTTGCACAAGAGCGGCACTTGCGGCGCGCAGCGGCGGCCGGGCGCGACCACCGAACGCGCCGGCCCCGCTCCGGTGCCTCCGCGTGCGGTAATATTTCTCGCGGCCGCCGGCGGCGGGCCAGCCGGGTCGCTGCCCCCCGTGACGCCCTGGTGAATGGGTAACGACCTGGAGAGCGGGTCACCGCTTCGTGAGAGCTCCAGTCGAGAGCGACGGGTGCGCTCCGCTAGGTCGACGGGGTCTAGAATGGAACTGAGTCGTCGAGGCACCCGGTAGATTCAGATTCTCTGTTGGAGATCGAGCCCGAGACCAGACAGAAATTGAAAATAATGGTAAAAAGCCACATGAAACAAACAGGTGACCATAACGGTCCCTCAAAGGTACTTGGCCCAATTTCTGACCATCCCACAACAGCCTCCATCGACAGAGGACCTCGGAGGTCACCAAAGGACCACAGCGATAGCCCGAAGAGGTCGGACCCATCGCCAGTGACCGGTTTCCATAGGATTGTAAAAAACCTGACACGGGCCAGCAGATCCGGATATGGTCCATTTAGCTGAGGGCCCCGAGCTCTGATGACTTTTTCAGCGGCTCTAATTACCGCGGTGTCGGCAGTTTTTTGTCGGACGGCGTAGGACGTTTACAGGCTGTGATTGGATAGGAAAGGAGGCGGGACGTCCAGCGGCGCACAGTGAGTGGTGTTTCAGACATTGTCAAATAAACTGGACCTGATTATAAAACCGGTCACCGTCGAACAGTCACAATTCGTCGGCAATCAGTTATCAGTTCTTAAATATCATCGAAAGAAGCGACAGGACTCTATCATCGGAATAGATTAATGACATACCCGGAAGGCAACTAAACCGGTAGATATCTCCACATCCGTATCATAACCATGTGTCTGAATGGACAGGCAGCACCGGTATTCCGCCGCCAAGCATGTCACCTCCATTGAGTGGTGGGCTGGATTCATAACTCACCGGTCCGAGCCGCGCCAGGAACTCAGTTTTTGAGCGCAGCTCATAACCTGTCTCGGTCGCTGCTGCGGGTCCTGCTCCACATACCCCAAATGAGTGGCCGGGTCGGCGCTGGGAAGGAGGACGGGACGGAAGATGGATAGACGCCTGAGCAAAAACTGGCGTCCTCTCAGGACGTGTCTTCATTGGTTTGAACAGCACGGGTCACCAAGCGATCGTAAACTGTCAGAGGATCTCTCCCAACTTGGATCACCTAATCAAACCGACGCTGGAAGGCAAAAGAAACTATAATTCCAGTCTCCTACAGTCTCATAACCACAGGAATTCCGTAAACCGACAATCGATCAATTCTGGCCCCTCCTCTGCTGATCCAGCTGAGACTGACCTCACGGTTACCGGAAGAAGTGGAATCAGGCACGCGGCAAAGGTCACGGTAGCGGCACGGGACCGGGACGGCAGAATGCACCGACGACCACTACGGCTGGCCACCGTGCCGAGCAGCCGCTCAAACCACGTGAAAATCGTGTGGAGGGAGCTTCTGAGTTCTGACATCACGACTTCACGATGGGCGATTATCATCATCAGCAAATGAATCCCTACACACACACACACACACAAAAACGAAAGACAAATCCATAGACTTTTCGACTAAAAGCAGACTGCTAGGAAGATTACTTATGCATGAACACTCGTTGGTATTGAAATTTTGATGTCCAATCACGAGTGTGCTTCAGTCGAACTATCTCGAGCCTCAGCCCAGGGTCGTATCTCCACGTGGTAGCCTCTCGAGCAGCTGCGCCAGGCGTGCCGCAATGCGTTACAAACGCCGCACCGACCCGTCACGGTGTCCAGACGAGCTGATGACTGATACGGCGCGGCTCAGGCCACAAAAACAACCTCGTGGCGGCGCCGGTCGCTGGAGGCACTGTCCAGACAGCACGCCCCGGAACGGAGGAGGGATGGAGGGACGGAGGGATGGAGGGACGGAGGGATGTAGGAATGGAGGGATGGATAGATGGAGGAATGGAGGGATGGAGGGATGAAGGGAATGAAGAAGGAGGAAGGGAGAGAAGAAGGGAAGAAGGGAAGAAGGGAAGGACACGAGGAGGAAGAATGGAAGGAGAGAGGATGGAGACGAAGAGACAGACGGTGAGACGGAAAGACGGAGAGACGGAAAGACGGAGAGACGGAAATACGGAAAGACGGAAAGACGGAGAGACGGAGAGACCATGACCATGAAACGACAGAATGAATGTTTTAGTAGGTAGCTGTGGATCAAACAAATATATAATATCAATAATGCAAAGCTAAAAAAGTCCGCACTGCACGCCAGATATTCCACCTATGAATCGTTACTTGCCACCTGTTGAATCGCACGGACATAAACGGTCTAGTACCGGAACTTAGGAGCATTCAGACCACTGTCCAAATGCCGCTTCTTGTTCTGTCACCGTAACTTGTCACATTGTGCGACAGCCGAGCGAACTCACACGGGCATTACCCAACTGGACAAAAACGAGAAATAAAACTGAGGAACAGTTACACCAGGGAACAAATGGTTTCCTCCCAGCAAAAAGGTGTCACCCGACTGTTTCGCTGCACCTGAGTGTGCCAAGACGGGGAAACAGTATCTTCATCTCGTGCAAAAACAAAGAGATGACGCCATGCCTTGGTCTTGAGACCATTGTCTGCATATTCCTTACAACAATGGACAGCAATCATATCATGCTGTTTTGAATTTGGGACTTTTCGGGGCTCTTTTTAATACTGACTGTATATTCTGAGTGGCCGATAGTTTTTCTTGGAAATAATGGCATTATAATAGCCCCGGTCGGTATTGAAACATATTTTTGCGACACCTGTAGTGACACGGTGCCTTGCAAATATGATCTCTAATCAGCTCGCAGCACACAAAAAGTTACCTGTTGCAAAAAAGCGACCGCAAGTTATGAGCAATCGTTAGCGTTACTGTCATGCGGGCACCAGCAGGCTGTCAGTGTGCGTTTGAGCTCCCATCCTACCGTACCCCGGGCACCTGTCAACGTAACCCGCGGCTCTGCCCCTCCCCCGTACCTCCGCTTCCATCTGTTTCCGGACCCGGTGCAGCCACCCATGCACGAGGCGTGCAGGGGGGGGGGGAGGGGGAGGGGGGGGCTGATCCAGGCCGTATCGTGACGCAAAATATGCGTTGAATGGCCTCCCGTATTACATGTGTATGTATGTTGAATGGTTGTTGAACAATTTAAAAGTTACAACTGAAGGTCAGCTGCTTATTTCGAAGTGTGCAGTTATGTTTCGACGACTAGACTAAGCTTGCATCAGGCAATTTGTAAGCATTGGTATGCTTTCAAGCCAAATTTGCCCAAAACTTCACTTAGCATCAGAAAAATTAACATGGCTAGCAGCCCACTTCAAGGCATACCTTCCCATTAAGTTGACCAGCGAATTAACACGCTTGCAATTTTGCAACTTCATGGAAAGAACGAGTACATTCCGTCTCTATCGCCCAAACGGCACCTGGCCTGTGCCTCTGCCAATCACGGCGTGGCAGACGCATTGCTCGCTGCGTAGAGCCAGTCCCACTGTTTGCGTTTTTACGAGTGTCACAGGTCTAGCCTGCTTACAGGGCCCGGTGCTCCTCGACAAAACCGACCCAGACTGGTTAATTGGACCCGTTTCCGCGTGTAGCCTGCATTGTCCGAGGTTCGGCGAAGACCCACCCGGGCCAGTGTCGACACGGTGACACCGGTGCCGGTGGCGGTGGCACCGGAAGGTCGGACCTGCGTCCGCCGCCGACCGGTTGTGCGGACACACGAACAATGGCAGAACCGGGCAGCCGGAGCGGCAGATGAAACAAAACGGCTGCTCATCACAGCCAACCGGGATAGGGATGAGGACGCCGGACAAAGGGCAGTTTGAATTAATTGACCACCGACGGAAAACAGCCCCGGATGAAAAATAAGTGTGAAAAAGTGCAGCAACAATTATGTAGAACCTGAATGTCCACTGATTGATGAACCTTCTCTAAATACCAAAACGACAACCATCAACTGACGAAAGTCAGTTCCCACACCCTCCACCAGCTTCACCATTGTTTCCGAAAAGGATACGAGTTAGCATGTCTTGAACGGAGGTCATCTCTTCTGTCTTGTAGGTAGCGCGGAACAGTTTGCGCAGGTCGTGGAAGGCCCAGTAGTAGTGCGGCAGCTCCAGGCCCTTGCTGCACGCCTCCGGGTGGAGACACTGCCGCAGGTGAAGCTGCCCATCTGTGACCAGGTGGAAGGTGCTGCCGCCGTCCAGCGCCAGCTTGGAGCGCGCGAACTGGTCAAACTGCCGGGCAAAGGGGAGACAGTGTCATGTGATGGACTTCGATCTGGTCTTCTATTATTTCTATAGCGCGAAAGCAGAAACAGCGCGAAAGTTATTTATTCACATTTGACTGGCGCATAACTAGAAAACAAAATAAATGCTAAGAGGACTGTGCCCCCTTATAACTACATTAGCATCTCAGAATGAAACGAAACCTGGCGTCCCCAAGCAAACTGGTACCTACAATCGTCAATCGTAGTAATTACGTGCGTACACGCAGCTCTGTGTTTCCCGTTATATCGCTTTCATGCGACACGCACTGACACACTAAACAGGCTGGACACTTGACAGTAGTTTGAATGTTATCAAAATGCACTTACAATACAATGCTTTTGAAATAATACTAAGTATAGGTAGAACTGCAGCACAGTTTGTACGAAGTTACATAAGTACTGTGGTGGTCGTGATTCGTGCACAAACTGTTGAGGGCGGACGACCAAAACGGCACGCGGTGTTTGACGTGCAGGGACCGATATGAAGACAGGTGTAGCATTGCTTTAGCAAATCCCGCGCCCCACTGGGGGGGCTATTTATAGCCCCCCTCCCGTTTTTGTGCAATAACTTCCAAACCGCTTGACGCATCGACGCAAACTTTCAGTACCTTCGGCTGCATCAATTTGACATCTTGTGTCAAAATTTGAACTTCGTAGCTACCATAGGTCGGCCGGAAATGACGTCAGAGTGACGTCATGTTCGGCCGATTTCGACGCAAAACATTGAACCACGGCAATCGCTCCCAAGGGCTCAGTTTTTAAGCTAGATCCAATTTCTTTGCATGAGAGGACTTAGAATGGACTGCGCTATCAAACTGCTATCTCGGATTTTCGAAATTTTGAAAATTTTGAAAATTTCATATAATATAATTCAAAATTTATATTTTTACATTTTTTTCAAAAAGTTTTTGACTTTTCGAAAAAAACGGAAAATATTTGTGATAGAACGCGTTATTATGACTAACTCTAGCAAGTTTTAGCTAAATATCTTCAAAAATGGCCAAGTTATACGCATTATTGCAAAAAAATCACAATTATTAATTTTTCAAATCAATTTTTCACCACGTATTTGACATCGTACGCCAATATAAATAGCACCATCGTGTTCCTGAGCTCAAACTGCATCCAATAGACATCTTTTCTATTGAATAATTATAACTTCAAAATTTGACCTTTTTTGACCTGAAAGTGACCTGACCTAAGCTAAATTCGACTCAAAATGACCTCGAAGGACACAGACGACATCAAATTCGAAATCTTTGGCCTAAATGGACCATAAAACATGTGTCACGTGACCGACGCATGATATAATATTTTCGTGACCTGTGATGACCTGACCTTGACCTGAAAATCAACGTACAAGTTTGGTACCCTCAGAGTATCTAGAGCATCTGTTCACGAGTGTGTGAACAAAAATGAGCCTGATCTGACTTGTAAGACGGCGGCCAAAGCCCAAAACGTGAACAAGCCAAAATGCTAATAATTTTTACTTTGACCTGACCTGTGACGTCATCGGTGACCTCGAGGTCAATGAAATTAGGTTTCGTTCGACAGTTTTTCCGGAGCTATCAGACGCCGTTTGAATTTTGACGATCGGCCCAGTAGTTTCGGAGTTAGGAGGGGGGCTATGAATAGCCCCCCCCCCCCCTAGTAGGGCGTGTTATACGCAGACCCCAGTGGGGCGCGGGATATAGACAGGCTTCAACTCGAATTCAGGGATCTGATCGTCACTTCATTCAATTCATACCGTATATGGAAAATCGAACTACTGACAACTCTTAGCACTTACAATAATAATTTTGTTTGTTTCCTTTACACCTCCTATGGGATCATAAGCTCACACTTTCATGCTACAGCGTGGAGGACAATTCGGGCAAATTGAAACATTTCCAATAGTCCTAATATTGCATATCATCTGACGCTCTAGCTTACCCTCCCAACTGATCCTCCTGTCGTATTTGTGATGGTAAATTTCCATATTCCCTTTTATTCCCTCACCATCTAAATGTTTTTTTTTTTTTGGTCATATATTATCGCCGGGTGCCACCGATATTCATGGCGAAATGTGAAGTCACCTACAGGGTGGGGCAGCATAATCGGGAATGCTTTTTGGGCTCTGGTCATGAGTAGGCATGGCATTATTTTGATAAATTATATCATGGCAATGAAACGCCCAAATGTTGTGCATCATCTGACATGACTACATCCATGAGCATGCAACTTCCTGGAAAAGAGCAGCAAAATAGTTCGACGGTGCTCCAAGTGCTTTGCGCGCGCCCATAGACACTAATGTTAAACGAGTAAAACAAGAACATTTTGTTTAAAACAATGCCATTCCACGTAAAGGTTGCTGGACAGGTCAACGTGTTATCACGGACGATAAGGATTGTGTGGGGATACTTAGGACAAAAAGTTAACGTAATCGTCGTAAAATAACTCTTAGCAGAGGACATACAAGATGACTCACTTGAATATAAGGAAGAAGCTCTTGAGCATATTAAAAAGAAACAATGTTCAAAACTTCAGCGACCAAAAATCTTATCACCGACTGGAATACGATAAAAAAGAATGGCATGCCATATAGGGGATTGTATCGAGAATATTGCAGCGGTCATGCAAAGTAAACATCCTGTTGAGGTGATGGACCTATGGGTGGTCTTCAAGGGAGGTGCACGTGGTGCACCCTACTTCATCGAGCCCGGATAAAACGAGCACCTCTGGTAAATACATCCACACTCTGGCAGACTCACGTGGAGTCGTCGGAAGAGAGGATCACTGACGGTCCAGATCACGTCTTACGAGGACTCTGTCCGTGCTGGTACTGCAGTGAGGACGACATGTTATTGTGTAGGGCACCTCCACCTGAGATGAACCAAAAACTTCTGGTCCTTCAACTCCGCCGATTTAAATCCGACCAAATTCTTTATATGGAGCGTTTTTTGGTAGAAGTTTAATGAACAACTTATCATCAGTAAAAACGGTCTTCAGTGCAAGGCACGAAGCTGATGGGCGATCATGGACAAGCAGGAGGCTGCACATGCATGCGCGTGCTTTTGGACCCGCCTTGAGAAGGTCATCGACGCGAAGGGCGGTCAAATAGGATGAGGGATAGGTAAAAGGTGACCGATTGATGGGATGTTGTTAAAATAGTGCTTGGAGCTATATTTTTAAATTCATGACCAAATAATCCCGTTTGATATTTATTCCCGATTATGCTGCCCCACCCTGTACATGGAAGAGGCGCCCAATATTTTCCAGATCACATGATTCATTTGCCCATCAGGTTCAGTATGACCGTAGTAAATAAAAAGTAATTCATAATCAAACACCTTAAAGTTTTTATACGGTACTGGAAAGTTTATTATAGCACTTTATGAGCTTCAGACGTTCATAAATAATATGAACGGATGCTGCTAGCACTAAAGGCTACATCCAATATTTGCATAAACATTTTGATTAGATTGGACGGAGACCGGATTTGCCAAACCGTTATTTTAAGAGAAGAGAGGTGATATTTCAGCATACGATAGTTTGATACAGGTCTACATATACGTAAGGCCGCTGGCTGCGATTTCTTATGGAAAGAAAAATCCGTTTCCTATCCGACACACAGCTGATACCTTTGTCGATCCCATTCAGACGATGTTCCAACTCCAAGAATGAACGCACTTCTACCAGCACGCTCGCAGCAATTGCACAAAGTGACTGTGTCGTCCGAACCCAGCAACAATTGGCGACTGACGAATGTGGGATATTTTCACAAATTAGCCTACTCACTGTAGCCGTTATGGTAACGTAATTGCACAGTTTGCATTTTACGTCTCCGTTCAACCTAAAACCACATCCTTTCCGTGTATGGTCTAGGGAAAGTCGAACACCAAATATTATAGAAATCCATGGAATGTCCCAGACCAGAACAATGCAACATCACCCTTGAGCCTGAGCCCTTCATAGATCTTTGGCAAAACGCAACTTCAAATACCTATCCATACCGATGCTATAACACTATTGTTACTGAGACACGCCATTCGGAAAATCCTGCAAAGGTGAAGTTGGCCTGAGGCTGCACAGCACGCTCATAGCAGGCAACAACAGACTAATGGCCAAGCCCCTGCGTCACACAGGTCTCAGGTCAAGCTCTAGTGGCGTCACAAGCCAAGCCCGTACGACGCACGAGCCACGAACCAAGGTCCCGTGGCCCGCGAGTTATCCATGCCAGGTTGTGAATTGTGATCTCGTCTACCCTGGTCGTTTCGCTCGGAAGGTCGACGTGACGGGGTGGTGAGCCGCAGCAGTCAGCAGCCACGCTCTCTATCGAGAAAGCCGCCCACAAAAAAAAAATCCGCCGCCGCCGCCACCGCCGCCCCCGCCCACAACGTTAACGGGCGGCCGGGCGAGCCATGACGTCACGGGCCGTGAGCGGCCCAAGGCTGGAAGTGGAGCGGGCGGGCGGCGGCGGCGGCGGCGGCGGTGGGTTTATTGACCGCCGCTCCCGCCCGCAGCTCGAGCTCGGCCGCCGCCGCCGGCACGACTAACCGAGCTTCGATCCTACCCACACCTTGCTGGCCCGTATCGCCGAGCCCCGCCTGGCGCCGTGCGCTGCCATCATTGAACATATGTAGTGTTTGGGACCCATCAGCTGATACGTGAGCCCCAGGTGGCTAACCCACCCGAAAAAGTGCCCCTCCCCTCCCTCACACCACGGCCCGTGGGCGCCCGAGCTCAATGCTCAATGCCACCCTACGGCGAGCACGTGCTTTTTTGCGAGTGACAAAAACGACGCTCGGCGGCGCTCAAGGCGCGCGTCTCACTCGAGCAAAATGGTGCTAAGCTCGATAGAGCTGCCGTCAGCACACATCTGGTGACTGGGTGGTTTCGGCTGGGCGCAGACGGCCGCTATGACTGGCAACCACCACCCATGGCCGGCCTGGATCACTGCTGGTATATGGTTTTAAGTGGTGCCCGGTG